AGTCTCTGATCCACGTGTTCCTGTCTCTCAGTTTAATTATCTGATGCACGTGTTCCTCTGCCTGTCTCCAAGTTCAATTCCGAGCATGTACAGTGAGGGAAAAAAGTATTTGATCCCCTGCTGATTTTGTACGTTTGCCCACTGACGAAGAAATGATCAGTCTATCATTTTAATGGTAGGTTTATTTGAACAGTGAGAGACAGAATAACAACAAGAAAATCCAGAAAAACGCATGTCAAAAATGTTATAAATTGATTTGAATTTTAATGAGGGAAATAAGCATTTGACCCCTCTGCAAAACATGACTTAGTACTTGGTGGCAAAACCCTTGTTGGCAGAGGTCAGACGTTTCTTGTAGTTGGCCACCAGGTTTGCACACATCTCAGGAGGGATTTTGTCCCACTCCTCTTTGCAGATCTTCTCCAAGTCATTAAGGTTTCGAGGCTGACGTTTGGCAACTCGAACCTTCAGCTCCCTCCACAGATTTTCTATGGGATTAAGGTCTGGAGACTGGCTAGGCAACTCCAGGACCTTAATGTGCTTCTTCTTGAGCCACTCCTTTGTTGCCTTGGCCGTGTGTTTTGGGTCATTGTCATGCTGGAATACCCATCCACGACCCATTTTCAATGCCCTGGCTGAGGGAAGGAGGTTCTCACCCAAGATTTGACAGTACATGGCCCCGTCCATCGTCCCTTTGATGCGGTGAAGTTGTCCTGTCCCCTTAGCAGAAAAACACCCCCAAAGCATAATGTTTCCACCTCCATGTTTGACGGTGGGGATGGTGTTCTTGGGATCATAGGCAGCATTCCTCCTCCTCCAAACACGGCGAGTTGAGTTGATGCCAAAGAGCTCCATTTTGGTCTCATCTGACCACAACACTTTCACCCAGTTGTCCTCTGAATCATTCAGATGTTCATTGGCAAACTTCAGACGGGCATGTATATGTGCTTTCTTGAGCAGGGGGACCTTGCCGGCACTGCAGGATTTCAGTCCTTCACGGCGTAGTGTGTTACCAATTGTTTTCTTGGCGACTATGGTCCCAGCTGCCTTAAGATCATTGACAAGATCCTCCCGTGTAGTTCTGGGCTGATTCCTCACCGTTCTCATGATCATTGCAACTCCACGAGGTGAAATCTTGCATGGAGCCTCAGGCCGAGGGAGATTGACAGTTCTTTTGTGTTTCTTCCATTTGCGAATAATCGCACCAACTGTTGTCACCTTCTCACCAAGCTGCTTGGCAATGGTCTTGTAGCCCATTCCAGCCTTGTGTAGGTCTACAATCTTGTCCCTGACATCCTTGGAGAGCTCTTTGGTCTTGGCCATGGTGGAGAGTTTGGAATCTGATTGATTGATTACTTCTGTGGACAGGTGTCTTTTATACAGGTAACAAGCTGAGATTAGGAGCACTCCCTTTAAGAGTGTGCTCCTAATATCAGCTCTTTACCTGTATAAAAGACACCTGGGAGCCAGAAATCTTTCTGATTGAGAGGGGGTCAAATACTTATTTCCCTCATTAAAATGCAAATCAATTTATAACATTTTTGACATGCGTTTTTCTGGATTTTTGTTGTTGTTATTCTGTCTCTCACTGTTCAAATAACCCTACCATTAAAATTATAGAGTGATAATTTCTTTGTCAGTGGGCAAACGTACAAAATCAGCAGGGGATCAAATACTTTTTTCCTCACTGTACCTCTCCACGCTTCTCTGTGCACTTTTCAGCTTTTGTTCAATGTTCATTGTCAGAGTCGATGTTTTCATTCATATGCACTGATTTAAAACAATTTCTTCTCTGGATAGTGATAGTTAGATTTTTAATGATCAAATTATTATTTTCAATAGACTTCATCCTGCTCTCAATCGCCTCTATTTTATAATGTTGATCGTGATACGCCTTTAGTAACTGGGTTAGGTATATAATACATTGTTGTGTTTTCCACGTATGTCCTTCAAACAATGATTTCCTGTTGTTCAGAATACATAGATTTCGTTTTTTCCCCGTATTTATCTTTAGCTCCCACTTGGCAGTTTTGTTTGTCAAGTTATTTATTAATTTTCCGTACTTCATTACCATCGGTTGATATAATGACTATGTCACCATCGTCATCATTAGCACGGTTGGCTGCGTACGGTGCGAAATAAGTTAAACATACGTAGTTGTACATTATCAGCCATCATGGGTCCACTGCTGGATCAGGCCTCTCTAAGCTTTCGCCATCTCTCAAGATTTTTGCCCTGCAACAAACCACGTGGCACCCGCACACTGGCTGATGCCCTCTCTCCTTCTCCTCGGTGGACACGCTCGAATGTTCCACCACTTCGCCGCCACTCCGTCATGATTCCTGACCATCGGTTATTTACACTCTCGTGATGCTTTTAACCTGCCGATGTTCCTTAATCAACGTGCTCCCCATCATGACCTCTCGATGTCATTGCAAGCAAGCATCTCTCCACGCATCTACGTGCACCCTTCAGCTTGTGTTCTTGGCATGTTGCTTTTGATTAGATCAAGTTCAGTTTCCCAAAAGCACTCCAACGTTGCGCGTCGAAGCCTTTCTTATTCCATCATTTTGATTCCAGTCGATTTACAAAAAGCCACCCTGGGTGTCCATATTCTGTATCATTAACAGTCATGCCAATGTGTTCGTATGTCATATCTCAGTCGTTACAAGTAAACGTCAGCTCTGCATATAGAGTAGCAACAACAACAGTAGAGACCTACCTCTTGTGAGTTTAATACATTGCTGTGCCCGCCTGAAGAGCCAATGAGAGAAAGGGGCAGTTTTTGTGATGAACATGAGAGCCAGCCACCAGGTCTTTGCACCAGGACCCCCAAATCACGTTTAATTGTACCAGCGTCAATTAAAGCTGATGACGCATGTGTGGTCAAATGTACTTAAGATGGGCAGTTCTGTCCTGAGTGGCACAACACAACATCTTCAAACACACGGAACTCGGATTACAGGAGAACTCCTCTCATCTGTGACCCTATTACTCAGGACTCCGATTAAACCTTCACCAGCTGTAGGGTCCATTCAATGTACTATTATCCGCGGCCCTATTCTTCCTGTCTGTCCGTACCGTCCTCGCATTATTTTAGAGGATGTGGAAGTAAAATTGCAGATTACATTCTAGGATAAGCAATGTTTGCTCGCCACATCGCCACGGAAAAGAGTTCTATTGTAGTGCGGGAAAATGTGCATTATATTTCACACCAAAAAATAACCCAATAATGAACGTCTAATTATGCAATTAGTGGGATACAGGTAGGCTACAATTTCCATACGCATGCTTACACAATTAACGGAAACTCCCATTTAGCATTAATAAGCAAAAAAAGTGAATTGCATTCGTTGCATTTTAAATTAAGATCTTTTTCCGAGCGTATAAATGTAAAATCTGAAGGCTAACCACTGGAGCGTGCGCCGTATTTAAAAACAGATTTAGGAAATGGCCACTTGAAGGCACAGCTTATCTTAGTGATGTACTGCGACTCATAATTGCATAAATGTGCGTGCATCTGTTGTTCAATAAGTGTGGCATTTCAGAGCACTAACTACATGCTTGCTTGGAGATGGGTGCAGGGGGCGACTGAATTGTCGGAAACTGCATCAAGAGAGTCATACTACAATCATGGATATGGCCATTCCTTGAAAAGCAGCCTCATTAGTTAAGTGAAGCTGCATACATTTGTCTTTAAAAAAATGCATACATCCATTATAACTTCAATTTGCACGTGAAAAACTAAACTACTAAACTACAAATGAGTGGCTAATGAACAATTAAATTCGAGTGGTATTTCACAGTTGAACATTTACCAAATGCAGTGAAACTATATACACACACCACAATAACATTGCATAGGCTCCACAATACAATCGAGTTGAAACTCTCTCTCCGCACAGCGTCTCGTAACAATATCCTACAATAACCCATGTGTGCAAGCAAAAATAAATAGCATGCGATCGAGGCGAAAAATCAACGTGTCAAGCTTACCCCCAATGAAACAATCAGCGTGGAAACAATCGGCACCGTGGATAGCAACCAGGTGGACAGCACTTGCCTCTGGCCGGCAGCGCGCAAAGGATTCCTCACAAGCACGCATCTGCAGCCTGTGTTGGAAGTCAAAGCCCTCCAAGTCACGATTGCATTCTGACCTCATCCGGAAGGCCGGCACACCACTGCACGAGCTGGCCGACCTCGCATTTAGCATTTTTCATGGCGCACACTGTGTACCGCGTGCGTCCACACATGCAGTAATCCTCCCAATATTAACATCGGTGGGTGGGAGCCGACTGTCGTGGGATGTGTATGTGGGTTTTCCCACTGGTGATTGGTATTTTTTTTTACATTTACAAAAAGGGCCAAACCGCAGAACTGTGATAATGTTTGAGATTCATGAGAGCATACCATTAAGTGGTCTATATAGAATGGAATCTAACGTGTCATTAAATTAATCAGTGGTTAGAAAGAAGTCTACCAGGGCGAATATTTGGGCATCCCTATACAACAGTGTGTATTTTGTATGCAGTGCATTATTTAAATCATCATGTTTATCCCTGGGCAATGTAACCCGACTACCTTATATGGCACTATGAAGATAAGCACATTATTTTTTTCCTCAACGTTACTGACGCGTATAGAGTGAATGAAGCAATATTTGAGCACGGACGTACAGCTCAGTCTGTTCTTAATTCGCACAGCAGTACACCGAAAAACCAACAGAGAATTAAATATTTTTTTTAGTAAAATCTCATTTTCGCCGATTTATAAATATATAACAATCGATATATTTGGCACAAAATCGAATACTATTCAACACAGCACATAGTTGTTTTCTTTAAACGAAACGTGTGTTTTTTTTTTTGCTTGTTTCAATACAGCATCGCAAATGGGAACAAGCAAACACATTCTGTCCCTTCACTCGATCACGGCAGCTTCTTTGCCCCGTGTGTACGCTCACGTGCGGAGAGACTGCAAAATACAGTCGTGACACTTACTCACAGGTTGGCATTGTAGGCGCTCGCAGTCCAGGGAGGGAGGGATACGTGACGAAGTCGGTAGCAGAATGGACGGGACCGACTTAGAGGCGAGACGAAGCGGCCAAAGCGCACACGTGGGGTGGGGTGGGTTCGTTTACTGCCAAGAGGGGGCCCAGTGAACGGCGCACCGGACGGGAGACGCGTGCGTGCAGCGCCCGCCGTTACGAGACGGATCGCTTTGATTTCATCCTTAATTGATTTTTTTTCGTTCGCGCTTATTTAATTTTTATTTGGGCACGCATGCAGCGGGAGGGGTGGGAGGGGGAGAACGTGTCTGAAACACGGAAAGCTAGTTTTTAATTCGATGCGCGCGCTCTCTCTCTCTCTCACTCCTCTCGCAGAGGTGCACGTGTGAAGCAGATTGTTGTGAATATAGTTTAACAGCCATGGTTAATATACGGCTGGAGGAAGGCCTGTCTCTGAACTGACACCTATCTCTCAAGGGCTAAACGCTGCAACAATCGATCTGGCTTGTGCACAAGAGCTGATTTCCTCACTCGACCTGCGTGGTGGATGTTTTTATATAAATTGCACATAACTCGATTATGTACTGGAAGACCAATAATTAGATAACACAGTCGACAATACACATTTAAATTTGGTTGTAGGATACAGCAAGCATATGGGAGTGGTAGGTTGACGTACGCATTGTATACAACTAATTGGGTGGAAATATTACAACGGCCTGCAAGGAGCCGCTAGTCAAGAAGACATTGACTAGACAATATGGCATTGACTAGACAAGATGACATTGACGTGCTTTAATAGCTCAGTCGTAAGAACAACTACACATATGACCTCTAAATTCCATACGATAAAAAACTGCACCATTTGGATCAGAACCTCGACATAGACGCCATGTCCTATGTAATCACTTGCAAACGACTTGTCACCTCGAATATCGCATTGCTGAACCCGAAACTATGAAGTAATTCCACCATTAAGTTATTTACGTGAAATATTACTTGATTTTGTGAGCGGAATAGTTTGTGGGAGTGCGGTAAGGGGTGTTTCATTATCATAAAGATGAGTGCACATTGATTAACGTTGGATAAAGACACTTACTAATTTCACACATCGCACATTCAGCCGACCAGACCCAACAGCACACCAGGCAGAGTTGCCCCATTGGGCATCTCCAAAAGCCCCTGCCACAAAACTCACACTTGCATTACCAGATTGTATGCTGTTTTGGGTTGAGTTTGCTCAAGGCAAATATTTGTTCCTCAAGTCACCTCCAAGTAAGTGAGCGTGATTACATTCACAGGTCGGAAGTGAATCCATGCCAAAGACAATGAGCCATCTGTGTAACTTCTGCTGTGCCGAGAGCGGAAATCGCCCGGGCTGTCCAAAATCACCAGACCTCAATCTGAAGGCTCAAACAAAATGTAACAAATCGTGATTCTTAAAAAAAATTGCAACACTTCAACATAGACAATACAATGCATTACTTTTCATTATACGTGCAAATTTGTAATGACTACATTGTACTGTATTATGAAACGTGTATTTATACTATGAATGTTATGGAGACAATTTAAAATTCTACATTGGCAGCATTGGAAGTACCCACACTTTATCTCACCACGCACAACCTGTATCCATAGATACACTGCTAAGCTTGTCCATTCTTTCAACTGCCGCACGAGGAGACTAAACTACACTATTTTTTACTTTACTAGGTAAGGCCCACTGAGCTATACAGAAATTTGTTTTAGAAGCGACCTGGCCACAAATGATAGCTCCACTCAATGGCTCATCACGTGGGCATTTATATCAGAAGCCAAATACTCTAAAAGACATGTTTCTAAATGTGGAGGGGAGCAACCGGAGGACCTGGAGAAAAACCCACGTGACCACGGGGAGAACATGCAAACTCAAAATATACAGGAGTCGGGATCGGGATCGAACCCACGGCCTCCTGCATACCAAGCGAGGTAGTGAACATCTCTCCACCGACGACCTCTGAATTGCAAGTCCAGTGTGCTCACCGACACACCACGGCATCGTCGCATGTATAAACGCCGATTACATTTTTTTTTAGCTCCCAGAGTTCAAACAAGGCCCTCGTATTAACTTAACTGGTCACTTATCAGGATTGCGAGACCGTCACCACAGCAAAACAGCAGTCATTATGGTTAATTTAAGCCAAGCATGCGTAGTCACGGATCCACACACAAGAGCAGCGCACAATACTGTATACGTATCAAAATTACTAAAGAACACTGCGAAAATGATCCTAAATCACGGAGCATATGAGAAAATGAGTTTCATCACCATGTTGTCTTGTGATGGTGTCTGTTATTTAAATGGCAACATTCTAATGAATGATGAATCTTTGTGAATTAGGGAAGTAGTGTGGATATGCATTGATTGGAATGCAGCAACGTACAGATATAGAAACCAATGTTGCCAAAGTGCCGTTACTCATTACATTACACCACAGGCAGTACCAGAGGCACAGATTAAACCTGAAAGTGAGCAAAGTCTTGTAAAGGCGCATAATTAAATTATCGATTAATTTACTTGTAAAAGCCTCACATAACTCAGACGTTTCACAGCTAACCATTCCGCATGCAACGTTCATACGAACTTTATCTTTCAATGACAGCATTTGTCAACACTCTTCAAAAGAACACAACAACAAAACGGTTCAGTATATTGTGGGTTTTATGCATTTGAAAGAAAAAATCAATCTGGCCAAGCAGATAAATCATCTGGGAGTTGCATCTGCTACGTACAAAAAATAAGTCATGGAAATGTTAACATTTCATAAGCTGGATATGTACAGCTTGCAGGTGCTCAAATATTTAAGAGGACAGTTTGGTCTCTGCAGGAACCATCCCGTGTCGTTGCAGCAGCCCAACGACCAGACCCCAAGGACAACAGGCGCACACCACAAATGTAATTTGTTGTGTAAGGCTCAGCGCGTGTGCGTGTCTGGTAACACGGAATTTTGTACAGTTCACATGTTTTACATTTATATGTTTTACTGCCAAGTTCCTGCTTCAATGTGCTGCTTATACTGTACAGTTTAAGAGCAGAGAAAGATAACTAATCAAAAAGAGCATTCCAAGTAAATTAAATGAATAGGTATTTGTGTAAAGCAGCATGACTATACTAGACGGTGTGGCGTTGGTAACGCGTGTGCCTCACAGAGAGGAAGGACACGGGTCCGATTCATGACACGGGTCCGATTCATGACTCGGGTGCCTTTCTGTGCGTGCCTTTGCACGTTCTCTCCCTGCTCTGCATGGATTTCCTCGAGGTTCTCCACGTGCTTCCCATCGCTAACAACAACAACCGCAATTCGCCACTAAGTGGCGGTGACGTCACCACGACGCATGTGCCAGGCCATGTGCACCTTGACGCCACAGCTAAAACCACACACACACAGTGCAACTGGCGCGGGCCAAACATTCCAATGATACAAATTCTATCACCCGCATAACTACTCAATTGGGATTACAGCAACATTGCCCTTAATTGCATAAACTTGGTAAGACTCTTATTGACTCAGTGAGGATGTCCTGGGTAAACAAGCCTATGATTAATATAGAAGCCCCTCTGATTCCTAATTATCTCTTTCTGCTCCGCATGGCACGTGCGACTCTTAATCGGTCAGCGGGAGCCATCGTAAGGGACCAGCGAGAAGGCGTAAGTGTACCAGGGTACATTTGCCCTCGCGTCTCACTTAAAACTTAAAGGTGCAGCCTGTGCAATTATTCGCTCACGCCACTCCTCGTAGAAGGGCCTCCATTAGAGAGCAAGCTCTGAAGGTTATTTGGGCTACTCAAGAGGTCGGAGTAGCCGGACTTTATCCTGCCGCACGCGACCTGTTTGAACGACTAACTGGTGTACACATTTATCCTTAAGGGTGGACGGAGGCGTGGGGGGGGGGATTTAAACAGACTTGCACCACTGTTTCAACTGCCAAGCTGGGATATTTTCTTTTTATGCGAGAAGCAATACAAAAATAGATGTTAAACAATGTATGTACACACACGAGGATTAGGAGTACTGCATTAACACACTGGAATAAAACAACGCCGTGCCAGTTGCCATCTAATAAGTACTTACAATTCACCAAATTTAGCTCTGTCGTCCAGGGAAATATATGAGCAAATGAAAAGAAAACATAATGCATCGCTGAATTATTTAATAACAACCCTGTAAGAGAGTCTGCAGCAGTTCCTGCAGTAGCATATGACCAGTAACACCGTGAGGATTTCCTTAAGCCAAAAGTACAAATTCCCACCTAAATGATGTTCACCGATCAAATAATTTACATTGTGGACCCGAATGCTCTTTCAGGCTAAAAATATTTCATGCATTAAGCAACAGTTTCCCGAAATATATTGTGATCAAGTCTGACCAAAGCTCTTGAGAATGAATTTGCACAAACGGCATGATAACGCATTAGCATGGATATGGAGACTTCCCGTCTTCCCGAGCCTGCAGGCGAGTTTTCGCGTTACGAAGGGCCACCCCTCTCAGGAGATAATGAAAAAAGGTATCCGTGCCTGGAGTACAGTGGCAACACTCTACTCCACTGGAAGCACTGAGCCAACTGTGGAAATTCCACATTCCCATGAGAGGGGTCAGTAGATTCTAATGTGACTGCCCACAAAGTGGCTCTCACCCTATCGACACCAGAAGGAAAAATCGGGCGAGTTGACCGCTGGCCAGGATTACAACTAGTACCCTTCTGGTTGCGAGTCGAGTGCTCAGGCCATAGCACACGAAAAAGAGGGAACACACAGATAATTTTCCGGCTGAAGGCCCAACATGTTGTCTCGACATCGCCAGTTTCCAAACATTGATATAGCAGTCTGAAATTGAGCTTGCCTCTCATTTGCCCTTCACAGCTTTATGTGAGTTGGGTTGTGGCCATTCTCAAGTGAAAGGTTCCCGTGCGAGTTGGGGGTATCCTTAGCTTAAAGAGATTTGCGCGAGGGGAGTGAGTAATATCACTTTCTAAGCCGACTTGCCAGCTTTTAAACGTCGTCAACGCATTCGTCTCAACGTCACGCTTCCAATGAAATGTCCGCTTAAACAAGTTCAAAGATCCCACAGAGATGATTCGTTTTGTTTAATGGGAGACTGATCGCCCAGTGCAATGAGGCAATGATACAAGCTATGTAATGACGCTTGCCTTAGCTTAGAGAAGGAAGCTTGCTTTTTTAATTGTATCCAAACACATCTGCAGAGGAAATACATTCGCAAAACGCAGCAGGAGTAATGACACACGCTACTAAAATATATGTAGGCGAAGACTTGTTTTTGTTAATATTTGATATTTTTTTCCTGTATTTTCTGTTTGCACAGTCACATAATCACTTTAAGATGTTTTCTTGTTCATGTTTTTTGTTTGTTGCCGTTGCACCCGATTCAAGAGCCGAATGGCTCACAGGGCTATACCAAATAAATGAACTATGAACTAACTATGAACTATGTTACTTGATGTTCTTCTTCAAACCTTCTCCCGTGCGAGATCTGACCAAGTTTTCCTCCATCGCCAATAGATCAGACCAAAAACAAGACAACAAATAAAGTAAATGAGGTGACGATGCAGCCCTGAAATAACTTTCTGATGCCAGTGCTGGCCACCTACTGTGGCGATCTTACAATTAGGTGGGGGTACCCAGACTTTACCCACCACCACCACCACATACGACCTGCCAATCAATCGACTGCAATGTACGCATGTTTACTGCTGGATGGACAGAGATGGGGAGGGGGGAGACTTCATAAAACTTTCACCATTGCTTCACCTGCTGCGCGGCACGGGAGATAAATTCGCGAACCGGTGACCTGTGGATTGATTTCAAGTCCAGTGTGATAATCATTACCCCGTGGCAGCATCGCAACCAATACAGTGTAGCATCAACAAAACATTGGCAATGTATCGCTGAAAAAAAATACAATATTTACTTACCTGACCGCGAGGCGCTATGTTATGAACGGACTCGACCTCTTGAGTGTAATTCAAAATATGACGGCGGTGATTTTGGTTTCACCTTACACCCACAAAGAACATCCAGTTCGATATCCAGCTGGCCACGGCACGGTGTTCAATATGAAGGTTTCCATTACTGTGAAACCAAATAGGAAAGCCTGCCCGGCTTATATGTTCCATATCAGAGGCAGGCAATACAGTTAATTAAATCAAAGTTTCCCGCACGAGCCCATCGGTAACTGTGCTGGACGCATCTCTGACATGCGCTGTCTAAAACGTCACAGCTGACTTGTGGGTGAGTGACGTGTGAACCGGCAATCAAGAACGCGGGGCATTATTGTGTATCTGCTAGAAACAATTACTGACAATTAAAGGTCTGGATGAAAAAAAAACAATGGCAACTGAGACATTTATTTAAAGCAAATTGGCCTGATGCTTATTGCTAGCAATCTGATCACTCTGGCAGAAACTGAATCATAAACAGATATTGCCATTCAACTTATACATATGGATGGAGACAATCTCCACAATCCTACATTGACACATAATTCAAAATGCAAAGGGGTAGAGGATTTTATTAGGAGATTCAAGTGACACCCAAATAAGACTCGCTCACAATATCCGCACTTAAAGTATTACGATTTCCAATAATGTACTAGAGTGAGTTTTCGCTCTTAACACATAATCATGAATTACGCGAAAACTCCGAAGGGCCAGCAGATGGCACTATATACAAAATGCGAGCATTTATAAGTTGTGCACAAGATTTATCGTTACAAGATATGAAGTTTGAGAGACTAACTCCACTCCATATCACGTCTACCCTCTGTTTTAATGTACCTGTTGTGTGATAACTCCACTCCATATCACATCTACCCTCTGTTTTAATGTACCTGTTGTGTGATAACTCCACTCCATATCACGTCTTCCCTCTGTTTTAATGTCCCTGTTGTGTGATAACTCCACTCCATATCACGTTTACCCCCTGTTTTAATCTACCTGATGTGTGATAACTCCACTCCATATCACGTCTACCCTCTGTTTTAATGATCCTGTTGTGTGATAACTCCACTCCATGTCACGTCTACCCTGTTTTAATGTACTTGTGATAACTCCACTCCATATCACGTCTACCCCCTGTTTTAATGTACCTGATGTGTGATAACTCCACTCCATATCACGTCTACCCCCTGTTTTAATGATCCTGTTGTGTGATAACTCCACTCCATATCACGTCTACCCTCTGTTTTAATGTACTTGTGATAACTCCACTCCATATCACGTCTACCCCCTGTTTTAATGTACCTGTTGTGTGATAACTCCACTCCATATCACGTCTACCCCCTGTTTTAATGTCCCTGTTGTGTGATAACTCCACTCCATATCACGTCTACCCTCTGTTTTAATGTCCCTGTTGTGTGATAACTCCACTCCATATCACGTCTACCCTCTGTTTTAATTTACCTGATGAGTGATAACTCCACTCCATATCACGTCTCCCCTCTGTTTTAATGTCCCTGTTGTGTGATAACTCCACTCCATATCACGTCTACCCTCTGTTTAAATGTACCTTATGTGTGATAACTCCACTCCATATCACGTCTACCCTCTGTTTTAATGTACTTGTGATAACTCCACTCCATATCACGTCTCCCCTCTGTTTTAATGTCCCAGATGTGTGATCTCCAAGCAACGCACTCTGATTGCGGTCACGCGTTTGCCGCTTATTGCAGTGGGTTCGCGATTGGAACTCAGCGGCTGCCCTGGTTAATGCTGCGGGTGGACCAACGACGAATGCGCAGTCTGCTTCACAGCGGACATTAAAGGTTCCGTGACACGACTTATTTGAGAGCAAGCCAGGCGTTAGTGGCATCATGGTTCAAACTTGTCGTTTAAAATTTATTTGCAAATTACCCGATACACTCATTTAGGGAGCGCGACTTTTTGACAGCATCGCCCGATAAGAGTGGCGCACCTTCTAAATGCAGTGATTATTTGATTTGTACTGTACATGTTTCCGATAGATTTATGATATTGCGGTGCTTGAATTACCTCGTATTTTAGATAATTAAATTGGCCAAGACCAGGAGGCGCGAGATGTAATCGAACCCTCTGAAACGCAGTGTAAATATTATCAAGCGTGCACACTGCCTGATAATCAGCAGTCATTAAACTGCAAAACCTTGATCACAAGGGACGGTCATTTTACAGGCACCGGGACCAAATACATATCTATAAACAATCACTCACTACACACTGCATTTCTAGGTTCACCGTTGTTGAATGCCAGTTGCGGAAAAGCAGAATACCTGTGTCAAGTAGTGCACAATTCATTTCGACCAAAGCTTTTGTATGGCAATAGTTAACTGTCCTCACAGTAGGCGATGGCGGCGTTGTTGTTGTTGTTGATAACGATGATGAATAATGAATCGTTACACCTTACTTATTTGACACGGGTTACAAACCCGACGAGCCTCGCCTTCGTTTATTCCCTCTGAACAAAGGAGGCGGGCGGAGGTTATTGTATCCAAATCAATCTGCCTATACACTCATTTGGAACCACAGGTGTCCTCCCTGAATGAATGCACATCCATCACAGGGCTCCACAGGGGAGGTCCGTGGCAAATGGGCTGGATGGGGTTAATGGCACCCGTGCACGAGCAAGGATTTGCTGTCGAATGCATGCAACGCGGTGCCACACTGCTTCACTAAAACCCGGCTGTGCTTGAAATAATAATGAATGCCCGATCATTCGCTTGACAACAAAGCTAAGGGTAGCATGTTGATAGAAAAAAAAATATGCTTTAAAATATGGCGGTTCAGTCACACTTTTGTAGAATCTTTGGAATCTGATATTTTTACTGCGTTAAACAAATATAATCACGATGCAAGATGCTGTTCATAGTTCTCAATACATTTTTACGAAAGTAAAAATAACTTAAATAAATAATGTTACTATTCGACATGCCCATTTCAGCTATGCAATGATTGTTAATAATCACCAACCTGCGCTGACTTGCATGGTGAAGTATGGTCAATCACTACAAACATGAGATGAGGCCTTCATCCAACAGTGGATTGTTAAACAAAAAAAATCCTTACATTGAATTTGTCCAGGAAAGCTTCAATGAGTATAAAAACACTTTTAGTCGGGTGAATGGTGACTTTTTTATTGTAAACTTGTCATTCTTTAAAACAATGTTGCATGTGGCAAATATGTGAGTACATGTGAGTAAAATAAAAAGGTACAAAATTCACTGAAGAAAAATGTACACTCGAAAAAGTATCGTTGATAAATAAGTCAACAATCTGTTTTCTGGACTGCCTTCAAACAGGCATCTCCAGTCCTGCTGGTGGGTGTTCCGTAAACATAATAAACACCGGTATGATCCACCAACCCTACCTCCAAAGTGCAGGACCACATGCATGCGCCACTGTTCTCACGTTTTGCGAGGACAGAAAGACATTGATATGAGTATAATATGCCTTTAAAGTCACCGTTTCATGGTTCATCAACACTCATGTTGCACTTTGTTCCTTAAAAGGGATAACGTTACAGGCCACTGAGTGGACACACGCACGTGGAGCATTAAAAGCCTGTTTAACAAGACGGGTTTCGTTGGGCTTGGTTTGGGGGCGGCTCAGTGGGCAACCGTGATCTCCGCTGGTGTGAATGAGTGACCCACGGGGCAGGGGGAACTTCCTTAAAGCTACACAAAGGACGTCGCTTCAGGAAAACAAGGACGGAAGACCGCTTCCCGAGGCCTGAACATTACCAAGACACTGGCACCAATTGTGCTGACCGCACCTCATGTTGGGTGACGTTCCGGTTTCCACCTGACGGATCTCATTTGGGCTGCACAATCTGTCATGAAAGAGAGGTCGCGGGGCAGAAATTGTATCATCGCGTTAAGAAGCTTAGCATTCATTGAAGTTAAGAAAATCCTTCTTTATTAGAATCCTGCCATCGCTCAGGGATTGAGGTCTTCATGCCAAGATCTCGAAACCTTACTCCAGTATTTTGCACAAGGATTAGGCAGGATGAAAATTCAGAAATGAGAAACATTTGCTCGCCTTACAAAGTCCATGGGGTATTCCACAGCTTTTTGTAGTGGTCAACATTTTTAATTCAAACATGTCACGTGTGCATTAGCATCCATGTCAAGTCGTGGCTTGCACCCACGAGAAAACAAAGCATTGCTCACATGTTACTAAGCGCTCACCAAATAGACTAAACAATGGAGAATTAATTGTCAAGCAAAAATGGACTGTAACAAATAATCGAAGTATAACAAATGTTGTACTGTGGTGATTAAATAGCATCTAACATGCAAGTGGTAATGGAAAACATACTCTTGGTATACAAAGAAAGAAAAGTCACAAATAATCAGAGCAGCGTGATTTTGTGTTTGACATGATGTATACTCGCTATAAAGATCTTGATGAGGTTCCATTTTAATTCAATTGAAGTGGTAGAAATGGACTCCTTCGGTCAAATGTAATGACTCCAAGTTTTTCTCAAACAACCCACTTGTGAGATCCTGTAAAAAGTAAAATATTTACTAAATTAAAAAAAACACAATCATTATTAATTCTACAGACCGGCATGGCTACATGATTTAACAATGGGGTCATGACAATTGCTTTGATTGTATACATTCATACTGAGGAAGTTAGGCTAAAATATCTTCTTTAATTAAAGCCTTTTGGCAACTGCCCAGTAGTCAGTGTTGCATAAAGTAAATTTGTACAACGACTTACTGCAGCATTACGAACAACTCATTATAACGTTTTACATGGAACTTTACCTGCAGCAAAAACCTTAAGAGGCTCGATATTTTCACCAAGATCAAACATTTTGTTTAGGTTTGCTGTTGTAGAAACAGATGCATTATGACAAGTTATCAAGCTGCTGATTCAGTTAATCTACACGTAAAATGACAAGTTAATAAATAAAACTACAGATGTTTTCGAACCCATGACTAGTTAAAAAAATATAAACCTGCGATTATTTGGAATTCACTAGTTATCCCGTGTACGACGATTAAATGGTAACCAAAACGCCATTGTGCATGCAGTTGTAAGTCTGACTTTTTACAAATGCTGAACCTAAAATAATTACGTCCATCTCTATAATTAAAAAAAACCTCGGCTATGGCTTCGTGAAGTCAGAGATTCAAAGAATAAACACACGACCCCACTGCCAGCTCTGGGCTGTTTGTTAAAGCGATAGCAATCTGCCCTGACCCTGGCTCCTCCACCAGACCTCACTCCTGGCCACCTGCAATGGGCAACAATGCCCCAGAGGCCACACTCTCTGCACTAAATAATTTGCATTCCAAAATACTTTCTTTGCGAGCTGAAAAAATTAAATGGTCAGCACAAGCCCTCGTAAAAACACACACACACACACACAACACCAGCATTTATTTGAACTACTTCAAAGGACTCTTGTGTTTTTTTTTTTAACTTGGAATTGCATATACAAACCATTCAAAGCTACACAACGGGAGAGCCCAAAGAGGCACAGTCATAGAGATCGACCTTGCAGCGTTAAACGAATCACGACTGGTAAGTTGTCCGGTAATCTAAAAGAATGAAGCAAGATCGACACAGAAGCATATTCGTGAGGTTGCTGACACTCAATACAGCAATAAGCTTACCATTTTCACGCAGATTATGAATGGTGGAGTTGCTGCTGAAAAATGCTTTATTGGAATAATTGGTTTCTTGAGTTCCTAAAAAAAAAAAGAGTACCTTCATTAATATTTTAACTCTGCAACGTCCAGCTTCATCTGTTCATACATCATACTACTATGATATTTCATCAACCAAAAGTAGTACAAGGTGTATTGCCATGCATACGTGTGCATTATCTTATTAAGATGGTCACATGATCAGAAAAGATAGCTGTCTGTACCTATATTTGATGTGACTTATTGCGAGTATTAAAAACATTAATGTCGACCTCACAATAGTGAATACCTCTCGACTCGGGACAACAGATTGGGAGAAACCTGACATGGAGTGGGAAAAACAAATGTAAATTGTATGACTGATTGGTTATGATCATTTGCTCCTGATGGATTGCTGAAACGCTATAGAGTACTGCACTTTAAAATAATCATACTACCATTCATGGATTTGGAGATCCTTGTTTTTGTCATCATATGAGTGAAAAATGATCCTTTGTCTGTCTATCCGTTTGTAACGAGAGACCGGGGTCGTGCAAGGATTACCCCCCCCCCCCCCCCCACCATGTGTACCTCCGATTAGCACGGTTAGCTACGTACGGTGCAAAATAAGTTCAACATGCATACGTAACCAGAATCAAACCATGGGCCTCCACGAACGAGCGGGAAAACACACTACCGCGCAGGGCACATCACCACCCCATGTTCACAGCCACATCACCACCCCATGTTCACAGCCACATCACCACCCCATGTTCACAGCCACATCACCACCCCATGTTAACAGCCACATCACCACCCCATGTTAACAGCCACATCACCACCCCAAGTTAACAGCCACATCACCACCCCATGTTCACAGCCACATCACCACCCCATGTTCACAGCCACATCACCACCCCATGTTCACAGCCACATAACCACCCCATGTTAACAGCCACATAACCGCCCCATGTTAACAGCCACATCACCACCCCATGTTCACAGCCACATCACCACCCCATGTTCACAGCCACATCACCACCCCAAGTTAACAGCCACATCACCACCCCATGTTCACAGCCACATCACCACCCCATGTTCACAGCCACATCACTACCCCATGTTCACAGCCACATCACCACCCCATGTTAACAGCCACATCACCACCCCATGTTAACAGCCACATCACCACCCCATGTTAACAGCCACATCACCACCCCATGTTAACAGCCACATCACCACCCCATGTTAACAGCCACATCACCACCCCATGTTCACAGCCACATCACCACCCCATGTTAACAGCCACATCACCACCCCATGTTCACAGCCACATCACCACCCCATGTTAACAGCCACATAACCGCCCCATGTTAACAGCCACATCACCACCCCATGTTCACAGCCACATCACCACCCCATGTTAACAGCCACATCACCACCCCATGTTCACAGCCACATCACCACCCCATGTTCACAGCCACATCACCACCCCATGTTAACAGCCACATAACCGCCCCATGTTAACAGCCACATCACCACCCCATGTTAACAGCCACATCACCACCCCATGTTAACAGCCACATCACCACCCCATGTTCACAGCCACATCACCACCCCATGTTAACAGCCACATCACCACCCCATGTTCACAGCCACATCACCACCCCATGTTCACAGCCACATCACCACCCCATGTTAACAGCCACATAACCGCCCCATGTTAACAGCCACATCACCACCCCATGTTAACAGCCACATCACCACCCCATGTTAACAGCCACATCACCACCCCATGTTAACAGCCACATAACCGCCCCATGCTAGCCATGGACATTAATCCAACAGAAATTGGTGGGTTCTAAGCACAGTGCGCTCATGACTGCACCACTGCTCCCCAGCCCCCTACCCCTCTGGATGATTATACACATTAGAAAGAGGATTTATTGGAGATCATAGATAGCTTAGCTGCACAGGAAGGAATGCAGGTATTACAAGGGACTTGGTCAGATTCCACATGCATTGGGCAAGTGCTGAGCACAGGAAAAGACGGCATTCCACTAATAACGAAAACTCCATACATCTGTCAATAGCAGTGCCCTAAAAGAAAGAAAAATAAATATATATGCAACAATTTGAGCAATGGCCCTTCTTAACAGCAGAGAAAAGAGGCCAGACAGATTGAGTGGGTAATCGATGGAGACTGCACTCCGCACTTTGGGCGTGGATAGAAATGTTATTTTAATAGTTTCCACAAGAACATTCCAAAATTAGTTATTTTTACCTGTGATTCTTCATATGTATAAAACCCTTTCTTTATTTTCTTAATGTCCACATCACAAAATGCCTCCACCTGCAAATAATAAGACATTATGCAATAAAAAAAGTAGTTTAGCAACTTCATTTACATATGTACATATTTAAGCAGAGCTAAATATGGTATAAAAACATAATATCAGGGTTAGGAACGTAAAAGCTAGGACGTGGTAATTATTCAATTGCATTCCCTGAGCTACTACTTTGGACTTTATGTGAGAGCATTCATATGCATATATAAATAATACACTAATAAAACACACACACACACTTATCATATATTCAGACGATTATAACAAACTGAAGTATATTTTAATGATTCTATAAAAGCACCAGAAAGCTGCAATTTTCCACAAATATGCTTTTAGTCTGTTCTTATAACCAAATAAATATATACTTTTAATGTATCTTCCCCGAATAAATTGATTGGCTTTAGTCATAGGCAGGGTCATCCTAAAATTATACGTTGTTTATTGTGAGACATGATATTTAAAGTAATGTAAAATATAGAATCCTAATAATTAGTGAACCGAGTAATTTGCCTCCCATGCCACGTGACACTAACATTGATCAGACAGTGGGCAAAGCCTGGAGCCGGTTGCTAACATCAATCACATATTACATGCTTTCTTAAAGTATAATGTAGTTACAGTCTGTAGAATGAACCATACATCAGTGTGCCAATGGCCACCTCACCCACCCAAAATTTGCTCAGTGCTATCAGAACTCAGAATCTCAACGATGTGAACCTAGATAGTGCTTGGGGCTACATTGCGATTGACAGCGAGCAGTCCAGAAATATCTGTTGTAATGTAATAGCGGCGTAGTTAAAAATCTGTGACACGCAGTTGTTGTCCACTCGGATAATTATTCAGAGGCATGCACAGGCAAACAGGAAGGTGGCCAGAACCTGTGCCAACAATTGCCCAAGCTCTATGGTCATATGTTTAGATGTTTGGCCATCTCATGCCATGCTCCCATGTATATGCTTCACCAACACGCACAGACCAGCGTAGTGAAGTATGCTCAAAGCAACACCCATGATCCGCACGGCATAGAGATAATCTATTCTTATTTTTTAAACATTGCTTTCAGTCTCACCCTTGTCGCGGCTACAAGTGTGACGTGAAGGTGTTATGTACAACAAATCATCTTCAGGCAGAATGAATCAACCCGCAGCATGAAGGCCTCCTCAAGCCAACTGTCTTGATCCCTTATCGTATCGCAAGCCCTTGAAAGATGGCTACGGCTGTAGCAGACCTTCCTCCAGCATTGGATTGCTCATGGCTGATGATGGGTGATGAGTTTCATGGATCGCTAGGTGCATCGTCGTTCCACCCCTACGTATTAGCACTGGTAAGCTGTGCGCGATGCCTCACAGCACCTTGTGCCGGCTGTGGACGCCGAGGCTCCTGTACAGCTTCCTGCCCTGCTTGCCCGCATTCCAAATGGTGAAACGTTGCCACTGCGCCAGCACACGCTCCTCCAGGAAGCGCACACGCAGATCCCATATGGTGCCCCTGGGAGTACGGCATACTGCATCATCACAACGCAGAATGCACCTCTATACATTACACCAGCAGCAATGTGTAATACTTTAAACTAAACTATTCATTATATTTAACCAGGTAAGGCTCACTGAGCTACATAGCTTTTTTTTTTCAGAAATGAAAGCTCAACAAAGTGGCTTATCGTGTGGAAATGTATAGCATCCAAATACTCGAAATGCATGTTTCTAAATGTGGAGGGAAAAACCAGAGACTCGGAGAAAAATCCACATGACCACGGGGAGAGCATGAAAACGGCAAAAATACAACAGGCGTCAAGGTTGGGTTCGAACCCACGACCTGCATACGAGGCGAGGTAGTTAACATCTCGCCACCGTGGTTAATGCAGACATGATTCCTTGAAAAAGGTTTCAGTTTGGTGTTTTAACAACTTAACACCTGTTGTGTTGCCAGATAAAAGGGGAAAACCCTATTCTCATATTTTGGTACTGGCAAAAGAGGCCCCATGATGGTTATAATTGTGTTGCTGCTGCTGTTTCTATAGCGACTGAAGATGGAAATATTCTTATATAAATATATCACTTTTATACTCTCTCTTTTCATAGTTTTACAGTATTTACTTTCTTTCAATTGTTTTACGACTTTGTCTTGTAAAGTGGAACATCACTGGCTTGTGACGTGTAATTGTAATCGTGTTTCTGGATAGTAATTATGATGACGACTATGATGACAATGCCCCCGCCGTTGCTCGTGATGATGACAGCGATCCGTCATTTCGCTCGAGCAGGGTGTTGTTTGGTTGCCCCAACTCACTCGAGGACCGAGTGGGTGGCGGCCGTCCGGTGGTAACGGTACGTGAGCAGGCACTGGTCCACGCGAAGGGGTCGGTTCCCGAGGCGGAGGAGCTGGTAGAAAAACAGCAGGTCCTCGGGAACGCCCTAGACGCAAACAAGTAGCCACGCTCAAGCGCCCAAACTCCCTTTGAGGCCTCGCTACGCTAAATGTTTCAGCCCACTCGCTTCAGCCTGGCAGTCCATAAGCCGACAATGCCATTACAAATCGGTGGGCCACATCCTCTTCTGCCAGGCAATGCAACGGTTCCAATTCACGGCTAAAATCACACTGCGGGGGGTAGATGAATTCTCCTGAATAAACAGCGCACCACATTATCTGGCTTGTTTGCATTAAACACAACCGACACGGAGTGAGCCGTCCGTTAATTTTTTTTTTATGTATCGCAACGAAAGGTTCCAACATCACCGTTTTGGAAACTAACATTTTAACAGTGGATCCTTTTTTCTAAACATTAAATAGATAACCGGCGAGCAATAAAACCTTACCTTCCCCCCTTCGTCAAAATTTCCGATGGCATTGAAGAGGTCTCTGTGACAGAACCAAGTGGGCATGATAACGGTTGGGCCATGTGAGGTGAATGCCTGCAAATCGCACACGGGTGTATGTATTGCAAAAATGTAATGTGTTACCACACAGATACAATAAATACATTACGGCAGGTACTGAGTTCAGTTTCCCGAAACAAACCACAGGGCAGCTGCGTCACACACCAAATTGGTTTCACTGTGCCAAAGCAGGTCATCTTGGTTCAAGAATATATAATGCAGTCACTGCTACAATTTGTAAACAAGTACTTTGTTTATGCAGTTTGCGGATTCGAATGACAATAGCAAAACATTTTAAAGGAAAAATGCTGATCTATAATGACTGTATTGACCTTTTTACGTGGACATTAAAAGTATTCATAATTTACAACCTGCTGTGAATTCACTGCTGGATAAATGCATTGCCATTTCATCACGTCACTCCCGGGGTTGGTTAAACCCTATTTGACCATGCTGGTCAGTGCTGGCTGCTGGACGGAGAGGGGCCCAGGACCGGATTAGATAACAGTCACTACTGATGTTAGCTGTGGCCGGGAATCGAAGTCAGGTCACCAAGATCACAGCACAGTGCACTAACCACTGCATCGTATATCCACCTCTAAAATGTAGTGGTACTAAATTGCATTCACAAGCATATAGTTACGTGTTCTATGAATAACCTATGCACAGCACAAGCACCAAAAAAACAAGGATGGCTTTTTAAGCAAGCCATATTTGGAAATATAATTTTCAATAAACATATAATCAAGAACAACCGGCTCGTCATGACGGTTTGTAGAAATTCCCGAGAACTGCTTCCATTGACTGAGGAAAGCAGGGAAAATCACTGCCCCATGACCTCTTCAAAACACACACTCCAGGCACTGTTTGGATCCTGTTTTCAATGCTTCACTAACACACCTCAAAGTGCCTATTTATCACCGTAATTCAAAAGAGTTATTTTTTAACTCTTGAATGCAAACACATTAAGAGCACAGCGCCCTTTGTATGTATACACTGCAATTGTGAAAGGAAAGGGGGGAAACGCGGTGCTGGCAGCACATTCAAAATGAATTCCTTCTGCAGTTCGGTATACAGTGTTAAACACAGCGGACATTGGAGTGGTACATGTATATCATGTTTCCCTCAAATTGTGGCCGAGTAGAACTTCCCACTGAAGCTACCACCCCGCAAACATTAGTGTGTGTGCTTGCACATGGTAGTACTGGTGGAAGTGTTTCAATTAGAGTGGGCCCTAGAAAGCGCCTCTAGATTATATTTTGGCCTACTCTTCCACACTGGAGAGGTCGGACTACCCACATTTTACCGCAAGCTACCATTCTACTGTGGTTTATGCATTTATACTGCTAGGTGAACATAGTTGGTAGGATTTAAGTACCTTGACAAATGTTTAGACTTCAACCATTACACCACAACACCATTGCCCTAGATAATTATATGCGTATATTTGCATGTACATTAAGAGAGTAAGCAAAGTTGTGTAAGTTTATTGAGTCACTTATCAAGGCATGCACGTGTGTGCACATGCGACCGCAATTTTATATCCCTGCCTCCGGCGGCACCTGCCTTAATTTTATTGTGCTCAGGCCAAAATAAAGCACAGCCATAAACGTGCACGTGCAAAATATGTAATATTTTATGATTGGAAAATAATGAACATTTCTCCCAAGGCCTGTAGGTAGGACAATGGGTGGGTGGTGTCACCACGCAGTGGACCGTGCCCTTACCTGAGTGAGCAGCTGTTCTTGAGAGAGGCCATTAATCCACCGCGTGTACCGCTCTGTCGAGTCTTCTGGCTCCCTCCTTACTTGGCAGCCTATCACCTGGGCATAAAACAACCTTCAAATAAACCGTATGCTCACGTTTGGGTTGCCACAACAGCATTTTTCATGATACGGCGCGATTCTGATTTCATGTTATTTTTTTTTACGACGCGACAATTTATCGCGTTATCACTGTCCCATAACTCTGTAATTGTATTTTGCATTCTTGATTTGAAGCTTTCGTGACAGCAGGAATCCATACTCTTTGGTTCTTTTGGTAAAGTCACGTGGGTATAAAATAATAATAGAGCACGGCGTTTCGATCGCCACGCAAGCGTTCGTCCTCCTTCCCTCCCGAGGACGACCGCTTGCGTGGCGATCGAAACGTCGTGCTCTATTATTATTTTTCTTCTACGTGACTTTACCGAAAGAACCAAAGAGTATGGATTTTGCATTATTATGGCATTGCTCTGCGCTTTTCTTTATGTCCAGTACAAATAAGCTTGCGGAAAGATCCTCCAACTGCAGTTCACTCAATATAAACCTGCCATGCATTTTCTGATTAAAGCAAATTTCGTCACACGCTATGTAACTAATTCATAAAATACTCTTTGGGTCTTTCGGTCAAGTCACGTAGATAGAAATATAATTTTAAAAAATCACAACAGCAAGCGGACTGCTGTATCTTTTCACCTGAAGATAATTTTTTATTACTTTTCTTCTTCTATCTACGTGACTTTACCGAAAGACTCAAAGAGTATGAATTCCTGCAGTCAGGAAAGCTTTAAGTCAAGATTTAATTCATAAAATGTTCAAAGACTATTATGGAATAGTATAAACGCCAAGACTTCAACTACTCTGAAACACGTATTGTAAAGCACTAATTTAAGTGGCAATAGCTACAACACTGATTTATACCTTTTAATTTAACTTTATTAATATTTTGTCATGAGATAACATTTATATATATAAAACGAGCAACGATAATTATCATAACAATCATTTAGAAAACAGACGATAATAAAATCATTACTCCAACCCAAGCTCGTACAAATTTCATCGTGAAAAATCCAGTCATAGCATCTCCCAGCGGTTACTGGTATGCCAATCACCTTCAGTGCTGGCCTTAGCCAGCTGTTAACATTCCACATTGCCAATTCAGGGATATATTTAGTCACGTGATAATCATTATTAATTTAATGTAAAAATAGTTGTAATTTTTGTCAACCATGTAGAGATGATGGTCGAGTCGACTCAGGCAGCTGAACTCGCAACTTTCTAAATGTGAGTCAGGCATTTTAACTTAAATGCTGACCTTCTGCAAGAGTGCATTAGTGCTTTGCTTTAAATATTTAGCTAACGGATATACAAAGCTATGGAAGCTGGGTGCACACACAGAACACTCACTGCCCCGGGGTGATTTTGAGCAGCCTCGTACTGGAGTCTTATCCTTTCTGGCATCATGACGTCATCCTAAAGTAAAAAAAATGCACGCATTTTTAAAATAGACAGTTGAAGCACAGCAGTAAAGTAGAACATTAAGCCAAAAAACAACAGAGATTTTACGCACTTCAAAAAATGTACACGGTTTAATTTTGACACCGTTATGATGTGTTTATAAACACATATTAAAAAATATATAAATCTTACTCTGTACCCCATGTCTTCATTACAAAAAATAGTTTAGTCTCAATGGACTCTCATTTGGTTATAATAACGTTCGTGTAAGCAATAATAATAATAAGACAAGTATATTTAAAGGACTTTTACAATCCACTGCTGGATGAAAGCTTTCCCACACCAATTCGGTCACGGGGTCACTTGACCATACCGCACCAAACTGGTCAGTGTGGGTTGATGTTATGGGGCTCAATAACCAGTTCAATATCACTGACCATTGATGCTGGGTTAATGCCACAGTGCGCTAACCAATACGCCACTGCCCCACCCCACGCCATGTATTATGTAAGCGCAAATGCTATAATTACTGCTTTGCACCTATGTTCTGCACTGCTTCTGTATACAATACTGACAAGAGCTCCTTGTTCTCTCCTAATGTGCTACACTTAATCACTCCCTGAGCCTGTACTTTCTCAATTCCGCCAAACCCTCAAATCCAAGGATCCAGTTCTATTCCTACTGGCCATCGTCACCGCACTAAGCTCCATTTGTACCCGTGTTGTGGAAAAGATGAATCATTTGTGTTGTAAAATAATTTGCCAAAGCACGACTTTTATAGCATTAACTCGAGACTTTCCAAATGAAACGCACCGGTTAAACAGGGCAAGGATGTTGCGCGAACACGATTGCTAACTGGCTGGCTCTTTCTGGAAATATGAACAATTAAGGGCGCAGCATGCATGTAAGGCGTGTGAAAATTGCCACTCTTGAACTCTTGCTAATAATTTACTGCGGGGTGAGTCAGAGGACAAAATAATTATGAGTCCCCTTAAATTCCGATGCTTGCTTACACGCATAATGAACCTAATATGGATGTAAATCGAAAAAGCAAAACAGTATATTACCTGTTTTATTTGACCATTAATTAAATGGATATGTAATATATAACTCTACAGTATGTAATATTCAACCTCTTACAATTACTGCCCCCAGGCACTGTTGGTCAAGTCTAAAACTTAAGAGAGTATTACAGAAGTTGGAAATATCTTTCTTACTTGAACAATATATACACTTTCCTGTAAATATATATCAATATCATTGTTTTGCCTGACAAATACATTGAATTTGCTTCAAGGTGAGCCACATATACAGATAAGCATGCAGCTTTTAGCCACATAACCAAATAACCACCAAATCAGCTGGTGTGCAGGTGCCAGGCGGATTCTTATATCACAGGATCACGAGTTTGGGGAGACCTTTATCCAGCAGTGGACAGACCATGGCTGATGACAATGAACTATCATACAAGAAGATGGTAACATTTTCAGATAAATACGATTTTAAAAATTAGGCAAAAATAATAAGTAATATTTAAAAACTTTTTTTAAAAACACGCTTTATTGAAATGTACCGTACTAGTAATGGAAGAACTCCACGACTCCAGGAAGTGGCCCCAAAGCTTGCCATAACGTAAAGGACCGTGGTGATTTACATGCAATGCCAGGTGAGCATGGACAATTAGACCCAAGCCGAAACATAACATAAAAAATAATGCTTAAAAAATATATATTTTTTATTGTTAATGTAGAATATAGTATTGTCATCAGTATGACATAAGCATACCAAGTTTGCAGTCGATGCCACATTGGCAAGTGGGTAAAATTTGAGAATACAACAGAGTGAGTTAATAAAAAGCATGCAATAATAAAAATGCCTTTTGTTATTGCATTTCATGTGTTCTCCAAGGTAATTCAAATAAACATGTGCACATGTGATCCATTCATTTTTACAGTTTACAGTTTTGGTTGAGTAAGGAAAAATGAATAAAGGGCCTCTGTGGTGATCCATAAAGATACACATTGGGTGGTTGTTTCCCATCACCACAATGAGACTTCAAAATCATCAGTTGGTTGCTCATGTAACACAGTCAAGCTGAAGAGCACTCAGGGCAGTCTCTTCAGCCTGCGCCAAAGCTCGGAGTCTAAATTAAAACTCCACATTCTAAGCATGACCTGAGACTGCACAAACAATCCACAACTATATCTTTCTGTCGCACCCATACATATCTACTGAACATTTGCATTCTATTGCTCCGTGTGTGCAATGGTGTCATTGCAAAACTTACTGCATCCTGAAAGCACAGATGACAGCCCGAACTCTGTGCAATGGCCTGGTTCTTGGAAAATCCCACTGAAGAATGTGAGAAACAACAATTGAAAATAAAATGCCTTTTTGTTGTTGCGTTAACTGTGTGTTAGCCGACTCTCTGTGTTGCATTGCATTACATTTCCCAAAAAAATTGCTACATTTTGTTTTCTCAAACTGCCTATTTCTCTCTCTAAAATTTACCAGGCTCTCATAGGGTGGATTTCCACACAACTCTCTCAAAAACGTACCAGTCTTGTTGGGTCTTTCATTGACATGCTAATTTATCTGCTCTAGTAGTTGCCCCAGCAGACACACCTCTCTCTCTGCCCCCTCTTCTCTATTTAAGGCCTCGACACAGAGGCATTGGGTCTCTCTGTCTCTCTGTATTGTCTCTCTGCTTGTGTGTCTATCTGTGTGTCTCCGTGTCTGTGTATTGTCTCTCTCTCAAATTTAGTTATACCTGATGGCGGTTGCTTGTGCTGCAATCGAAACGTCGTACTCTATTATTTAATTTATTTTCTTTCTACGTGACTTTACCGAAAGAACCAAAGAGTAATTGAAAATAAATTAACCAAAAAAAGTTTAAATGTAATTTTAAAGTGATTCACAAAACCACGTGAAATTAGGAGCAATGAAATCATGTGCAGGAGCTTGGTGGATTATTACATTACAGAACCATTAGAGATTGCAAGGACTTAGGTAGACCTTCATTTAGAAGTAGATTAATCATGGCTGATGACAGTAAATTGCGTGACTTTGTATGTTTAAAGATGAAAACATTGATTTTAAAAGGCCTGGAATATAAAAAAATGGAATTCATGCCTATTGATCAGTTGCCACACAATGTTATAACGATGCACATCAGTGTGGAATTGTGCTACACATTAGTTTGGCACAATGGGACAGAACACTGCTGATACATTCATGATACTTTCAATATATTCATAATTACATTTTCAAAGCTGCGGCTTGAAAAGTTACTTTCAGTGTCCTAACAACACCGTCAAATATCCTTTGGAATGTTTTTTAGAGTGTTGGATAAGGTGTTTGCGATTTAATTTCGATTTAAAGCTTTCGTGACTGCAATGATTCATCTTCTTTGGTTCTTTCGGTAAAGTCACGTAGAATGAGAATAAAATAATAAATTGATAAAGTAAAATAACACAATAATATTCTCACGACGCTGTCCTACCAGTCTCGGCCCTTCACCTGATGAAGGCCGCTTGTGTTGTGGCCGAAACGTCGTGAGAATATTATTGTGTTATTTTATTTTATCAATTTATTATTTTATTCTCATTCTACGTGACTTTACCGAAAGAACCAAAGAAGATGTTTGCGATTTGTTATTCCACATTTTTACCAAGGCCAAAGCATCACACAAGCAGATAATGCAAAATGTGGTGGCAAGACAGCCACATAAATAACATGTAGCATGAGTCTATCTACCATTTAAGATGACAATATTGAAATATACCTGCCAAGGATAATATGCAAGGGTGCTTTGGCAAATCTAGGCTAGGTGCTGTATCCAAGAAAGTTTGGCCTTGACAGTATTTCTTGCATTTGCTTCTCAATATTTGTTCAGATTGGTTTTGTTATCCTCACTCTAGGCTGCCGGTTACCACCATGTAACATAAATGAGTTTATTTTTTTCCAGAAAAGTCTAAGATTCTTGCCAAAGCACAGCACTTACCGCCCTTTGGTTGGGAAGATTTATGGCCTCTGACCAGCACCAATATGCCTCTCTTTTTTAGCTTTTCACGCCAGCTTTCCAAAATACACAGAGAGCTGTCCTAAATTTCAGCCAAAAAAAAAGAAAGATATTATTACCAGCCGGTCTCAAATAATAATACAGTACACATTGCAATATTTCCACTTAATACTGCTTGGCATATACAGGAAAATTAGTTGCAGCAAAATGTAAGCGTTCATGGAAAGATGGAAAGTCAACAAATGGATTTACTGACCGTTTGATCGTGTAAATGATTATTTTGTTTATTGCATATGTCTGACCAAAACAGTATATTAAAAAAAATCCAATTTATACATTTTATATAATAGAAAAATCAATTTCAATGTCTATTCATGTGAGCAGTATTCCATTGCTGATTCGTTTAACAGGAGAGAGCAAAAGAATGAAGGATTTTTTTTAGTGAGTTAAATTTGTTAAACTGAAATGACAGTTGCTTGCAATAACAAAGGCATTTTTGCCAAAACTAAATGTCAATACAATCAATATGAAAACAATTGCCACCATGATCCTCTTCATACACATCAAGTCACCTCATTACTCAATATACCAATGTTACACATTTCATCAAAAGAAAAGCACTCTGATTTGTATTAATATATATGAACGAAATTGATAATATAAATACAAATCATGATTGTTATGAATAACGCAAAAACATTTTTCAAATAAACTGTTACATTTACTTGCTGAACCAAATAAGACCTTGCCAACATAACGTGCAATTGAATATACAGCAAGCCCATGCCCATCGCGGAAGTTACATTCTTGAAAATCACCGCAATTGGCAAATCCATGATAGGCAAATCCACGATCCGCAACTCAAGGTACATGGGAAAACTCGAGGGTTGGTTCACGGTTCATAATGACACCCTTCCATTTGTTTTAAGTTGCCCTACATCAACCCAAACATTAAACAGGAAGTATTTTGAATGCAAAATATTTAATACACTTTCTTATTTTGCAGCGTTAAACATAACTTGTGGGGTAAATGCATTGAATGATAAATATTGCTTGGCATTGTACATGGATATGTGTACGGTATGGTACACTACAGGAAGAAAAATCGTGTGGCTAAACCTCCCAGCCTCCTCACTGGAGGCTGGGAACACCGTGTAACCTGGGACCCGAGATGGCCCGCTTGGGAGACAAAATTGCGATCAGATCGGGGCAAGATGGCGTGTGTTCTTCCACGCCCGCATCATCGCATGCAGTACAGTTACAATGCGTACAGGAATCTCGCAGTCAACTGCAAATGGTCTAGCAACAGGATCGAGATTGGCAAACTGTACCTCAATAAACTTGGCGCGAAACCGCAAAAAACGTGATAGCTAAACCTGCGAGAGGGAAGGATTTGCTGTACATTACAAGAAAAATGTGGGATCCGAGTTTTAACCAAGGATTAAAACACTTCACCGTGCTGGCATCATCAAATGCGGAGAGCTCCATGCTTCCTTCAAAGTCCTGGGCCATTAGTCCTTGCAGACAATCATCGAGCCAGCAAGCTGCATTATGCACTGGTAATATCACCGACTGCAAACACAAACACACCAGTGACACAAGCCAAAAATCCTGCTGCTGTTGTAACCACAATCATTTTTATCCGTTTGTTACTACCATTGTCAATTAATTAATCTACATCGTAATACTGTGTATTTTCATTACTTATAAATAAGTCAATTATAAAGAAGTACCAAAATGCATTTTAAACTGGGAATTAGATAAGATGGCACGCTTTGACCAAAGTTATTTAGAGTAACAATGGAAGACGTTTGAGAAAGTGGATTGGAGAAACAATGGTATAAATAAAAATGGAGAAAAAACCTTAACCAGCTCAGATTTTCTGAAAACAGTCATTATAACGTCCAAAGGGAATTCACTACAGAAATCGTTCGAATTCATTGATGTATAGGTAAAACGATATTTGTGTAAAACAAGTTAGGCAAACGATTGGAAATAACTTTCCGGAAGGATAAAACTTGAAAAGGTAGCGAGGGCAAAATAGATCACATTATAGTGCACTGGATCGCTTTTGGGACGCTGAAGTCAATAATTTGTCAACAGCAGAGAGATGTTAATGTGTATTACCAGCTATGACATATGGATCAGCATCATGGACACTTATGAAGAGCAGTGAAACACGGAGAGATGCATGCGGTTTCTCAAATAGACCGTAAGCTTTGTGGTCGTGGATAATAGGAAAAAGGCTTGATGAAAGTATCCTACAGTGAGGGAAAAATGTATTTGATCCCCTGCTGATTTTGTACGTTTGCCCACTGACAAAGAAATGATCAGTCTATAATTTTAATGGTAGGTTTATTTGAACAGTGAGAGACAGAATAACAACAAAATCCAGAAAAACGCATGTCAAAAATGTTATAAATTGATTTGCATTTGAATGAGGGAAATAAGTATTTGACCCCCTCTCAATCAGAAAGATTTCTGGCTCCCAGGTGTCTTTTATACAGGTAACGAGCTGAGATTAGGAGCACACTCTTAAAGGGAGTGCTCCTAATCTCAGCTTGTTACCTGTATAAAAGACACCTGTCCACAGAAGCAATCAATCAGATTCCAAACTCTCCACCATGGCAAACATCAAAGAACTCTCCAAGGATGTCAGAGACAAGATTCTAGACCTACACAAGGCTGGAATGACAACAGTTGGTGCGATTATTCGCAAATGGAAGAAACACAAAAAAACTGTCAATCTCCCTCGGCCTGGGGCTCCATGCAAGATCTCACGCTCGTGGAGTTGCAATGATCATGAGAACGGTGAGGAATCAGCCCAGAACTACACGGGAGGATCTTGTCAATGATCTCAAGACAGCTGGGACCATAGTCGCCAAGAAAATAATTGGTAACACACTACGCCGTGAAGGACTGAAATCCTGCAGTGCCCGCAAGGTCCCCCTGCTCAAGAAAGCACATATACATGCCCGTCTGAAGTTTGCCAATGAACATCTGAATGATTCAGAAAAGAACTGGTTGAAAGTGTTGTGGTCAGATGAGACCAAAATGGAGCTCTTTGGCATCAACTCAACTCGCCGTGTTTGGAGGAGGAGGAATGCTGTCTATGACCCCAAGAACACCATCCCCACCGTCAAACATGGAGGTGGAAACATTATGCTTTGGGGGTGTGTTTCTAAGGGGACAGGACAACTTCACCGCATCAAAGGGACGATGGACGGGGCCATGTACCGTCAAATCTTGGGTGAGAACCTCCTTCCCTCAGCCAGGGCATTGAAAATGGGTCGTGGATGGGTATTCCAGCATGACAATGACTCAAAACATATGGCCAAGGCAACAAAGGAGTGGCTCAAGAAGAAGCACATGAAGGTCCTGGAGTGGCCTAGCCAGTCTCCAGACCTTAATCCCCCTTAATCCCATAGAAAATCTGTGGGTGGAGGGAGCTGAAGGTTCGAGTTGCCAAACATCAGCCTCGAAACCTTAATGACTTGGAGAAGATCTGCAAAGAGGAGTGGGACAAAATCCCTCCTGAGATGTGTGCAAACCTGGTGGCCAACTACAAGAAACGTCTGACCTCTGTGATTGCCAACAAGTGTTTTGCCACCAAGTACTAAGTCATGTTTTGCAGAGGGGTCAAATACTTATTTCCCTCATTAAAATGCAAATCAATTTATAACATTTTTGATATACGTTTTTCTGGATTTTTCTGTTGTTATTGTGTCTCTCACTGTTCAAATAAACCTACCATTAAAATTATAGACTGATCATTTCTTTGTCAGTGGGCAAACGTACAAAATCAGCAGGGGATCAAATACTTTTTTCCCTCACTGTAAATTCATGCGATTGCTCACATGCCCGCACACTCTAAACAAATTAAGCAAAGACTGCTAGATGCAATTATAGACTCTGGGAAATAAATATCGGTTTTACTGTCCTGCGATGAACATTACTCTCATATGCGGAGCGGTTGTGGCGACAGCCTCCTTCTCCTGTGTGGTTCAGAATTCGCTGGAAGGAAGGACACTCGGGGTACTTCTGGTGATGGATTACACACGCGTAATGTGGGTGCGTGCACACGGTGAATCAAACATACTATTGTATGTTCAACTTCTTTCGCACCGTACGTAGCCAACCGTGCGAATTGGCGACGTGCGGGGGGGGGGGACAAGCAAACTAACACACACCTGGGGTGCAAGATGCCAGGGGGGTCCGAGACATGGCCAGACTTTTTTTTTAGAAGGTAAATAATCGAAAAACAAATGATGCACGGCCACGTAATTACAACTACTTTTTTTAAGCAAACACTATGCAGGGCTGCTCCCGAGGCTTCGCTTCGATGAGCCTTACACACGGCGAATGTGCCAGCAGAGTGGACTGGCCATCACCCACCACATCCACAGGGTGGCCCTTTGCTCCCCCAGGATCGTCAGGCATCTGTGCAGGGGCTCCTGGTTCCTCGGCAGTTCTGTTCGATTCGCAAGCCTCGCTCATAGTTGTACGCAACACACACACAGTGTTTGAACGCCGATTGCGTTTGCACGCAATGTTATATAATGTCTGCAACACACACAATTAGGGATAATTACGAGCTCTTAGTGGTGGGTGACAGAGTGGTGTACACACTGCGCTTTAACCAACGGGAACCGGAATACAATTTCGGGTCACGGCAAACATCAGTGGCAAGTGATATCCACACCAGACATCTCCCCCCCAACCACCTGCATCACCAACCCGCACTGACCAGCGTGGTGAAGTATGGTCAAACAATCCTCGTGACTGATACGTGGGGAGGAAAATCATCCAGCAGTGGATTGACAACGGGCTGTGCATTACCATTAGTATCGTTCCAGTATGTATAGGCAAGTCTAAACTGGACATGCAAAAATTGCCTTTAAACTAGTATGCAAAATCTTTAGACAAAATAATGTCCTTAATAACATATTAATTTATTGTTTCCATTCTACGTGACTGTACCGAAAGAACCAAGAATATGAATCCTTGCAGTCACGAAAGCTTTAAATAAAAAAATAACAACGTAGTGAAATTATTTGTGTATATGCAAAAATGTACACAGTGGAGTTTTCATTACAAACCTTTGCTTGGTTGTCTTCAGTCAAATACGAGCCTGTATTACCATAAAGAGGCAACCACTTTTACAGCAATGCATGTATATTTTTTATATACACACAGGGTATGATTTAAAAATAAAGTATTTGAATAAACGACTTGAGGGGCCTTCTGCTTTGAAAGCGGAGGGAGGGTCACACGCCACTTCCTCAAAGGGTCATGGGTCACAGAAGGCCCAACGAGCCAATCAGAAGCCCCCTAGGTCTCCCAGCTCCTTGCACAGTGGCTAGTAGTCCAAGTTAACGTTAGGCAGAAAGTGTGGTAATTACAACACGTGACAAAATAAATTATCATCATATGCCTACAATTGTCCGGGAAATGTATCACTATTTGTGCAGAACTATTTTGCGTTATCAGTTGCTGATTGCCAATAAGATCCCCAATGACATGTCGCATATTATTCACCTTTGTCTCCCTTGCTGTGTTTTAACCAAAAATGTAAACGAATTTATTCACATTGCACACATGAAGAGGCATTTCAGATTGCGCATATTTTGTTTATGAGTGCCGGAGACTGTTTCATGAGGATCCTGCATAAAGCTGTTTAGCCAATGCCATTAATAAACTAGGAAAATATATCATGAAGGGTTTACTTTTCACGATTATCACTGGGGGTGAAACAATGCGTCGATTCATCTACTGTATTATTAAGCTTATGATACGGGTATGAAAAAGCAAGAATCACATTGTCTTGGTATATATTGTAGCGGATTTATGTGATCCTTACAGACACCAGAGGCCGCTACAGTTATCAATCAGATCACAACTCTGAATGGTGATAATCGAATTGCCTTGGTGGTGGAGGGGTGCATAATTGTGCCCTTAAGTATAATCTTTAACACGAAATAATCATCGTAATTTAAGTATACAGTATAGGGAACCAGCTGACGTGCCTCTAGGTTGTAATACAACATTCCTGCAACTAGAATGTGTTGCTATGCTGTGAATCCTACACACGAGGAGCTAGAGTTGCTGACCGGGACACACTGCTGGTATTCTCTCCAGCTGCTCTGATGTTAATTATAATTGCGGGTGGCCGGATCTTACTGCTTGCTGTTGGCCGTACATAACCAATGCAAACTCGACACCAAGCCATTAAAGACGAGCCTAAAGCGCGTAGCCAAAGTCACCACCTCTAACCCTGACCCAGCTGCCAAATAAACGTGGGGCCATTGCACTTTCACCAAGTTAGAGGATACTGCCTCAGCCATGAAACAAAATCGAACAAAAAATCATCAAATTCCATTCTGCATGAACAGCTGGCTGACACTGCGCATCGTGGACTGTCACAAATAAATGACCTTTTCATAGAGCACACGAATTATTTTGTTCACAATTATTACAAAAGTTTATTATGGACAATGTCCGACAGTAAAAAATAAATCCGGGGTTTTCATGCACTGAGAAAATATATATAGTAGATAGCTAAAAATAAAATTAGCAATGCAAATACATCACTAAAAGAGCGCAATAAAAATGAATCAGACGGTTACAGTACTGATGTCGAGGGCTGCATGGGAATTATGATATCAGCATGAGGAAATGTTGTTGGTGCCTATATTGTTATTAATATGCAGTACATTTATTTATACTGTATCGTCATTTAATCATTAAACAAATCCACCCCCCCCCCTGTCGAACTATCCATGTGACCCTTAGCACATACATCTTTCCATCCACCCATCTTTTTCTCATTCGAATGTAACTGAGCAAGGGATTACTTGAAGCACTCCTTTTCTATACCCAGCTTAGCATAATTATATCACATTCACAATGACATAAAACCCGTGCTGTCGTCAGATATAACAAGACGAGTTCAAAAGACAGTATGGCACAGCCTTAAAGACACCCAAGCTGCAGAATTGTACACAACAATTTCAAACCGTCCAATATAACCTCTGTGAATGGCAGGTCTCGTAACAATACGGACAGAGGCCACACACGACATATGTACAGTACATGTACAGCCAGTGTGTTAAACCTTGCTGGATGAGGAACTCCCTATTGTTTCATATTCTTGGTTCTTTCGGTAAAGTCACGTAGAAGGGAAACAATACAATTTAAAAAAAAACAATAAAAAACAATAAAATGCTCACGACGTTTTTTTACTGCAACACAAGCAATCATCATCAGGTGTGAAAACCACAGCAAGAAATTTGAAAAAAGTGGCGTGGTGCTAACGTTAAAAAAACGCCACTTTTTTAAATTTTTCTTGCTGTGGTTTACACACCTGATGATGATTGCTTGTGTTGCAGTCGAAACGTCTTGAGATTTTTATTGTTTCACATTGGTTTTTTTTATTGTTTTATTGTTTCCCTTCTACGTGACTTTACCGAAAGAACCAAGGATATGAATCCCTGTAGTCACGAAAGCTTTAAATCAAAATACCTACTGTTTGTGAGCCAAGAGCGACATTTGACCATACCGCTCACCACGCTGGTCAGTGCAAGCTGATAGAGGTGGGGGGAATGCAGAACAACAGTGGAACTTGTTGCGCTGCCCATAAAACCGATTTAAATTGACTTCTCTTTTGTGCATGTTGGTCACACACAAAAGCATTATCCAGGCACAAAATTGTGCCCATTTGGAGAGATTGGATATATGCCACATATGGTGCGTATGTAATAGTTTATACAGGGACTCCTATACTGACGAACGAGTTGGGTTCCAGAGGCCTGTTCGTATGTCGATTTGTTCGTAAGTACAACTTTACTCCTGTCGATTTCAAACATGTTGTACGGCGTGTACACTAAACACGTGGAATGGCTGTAAAAGTTGTATAATCTCCTGTATATATGCCACTGGTTTTTCACTTTCTGCAGATATAGATGCCACTTGTTAATCCATGTTCTGCAGATGTAAATGTGCCACTGGTTCTTTATGTTCTTTAGATGTAGATGCTAATTCCCTTTGGTCCTCGTGTTTCCTCTCTTGAAAAACTTACCAAGAGATGTCTGCACAGTTGCTCTCATCTTCTTCTTCTCTTCGTGAAATCAACTTGTAACAGGCAATAGCATCGTGAACAGTTGCCGACACCTTAGTAAACCTTTCACTGTTTGGGTCCTGATTCTCAAAACAAACTAGTGCCTTCTCAAGTACTACTACCCTCAGCCTGTTGTCAAATTATTAACAATGACAGCTATAAAACACTGTTTCACATCTTTTCACATTTTTTTGTGAATTAATTTTAATTCTGTTATCTGAGTCGCCGGATATAATAAAAAGTGAGCCCATGGATCAAGAAAGAAGCCGCTATTCCAAGACAGTGAGATTGCATAATGAACCTAAAACATTCCAAAATAGTCAAATTATCTTACATGGTGCTGCCAGGCATAACATATATAATGCAAAGTTTTAGAGGTATTCACCTGTATAGGTCCATTATGAATCAACACATTATTAGCCAACAACACTCTCAATCCTTTACCTATCATTGGTGATATGCAGATGTTCATGCATATTGGGATATATTCATGATTATGTCTACACTACTTGTGCATTCCATTGATTAACAATGCACTGTAGAAGCCCCAGCAAGGGACCGCAGAAATGTTGCCTGAAGCAAGTTCTTTCTGTCTGCGCCGAGGTCATGTTGCCTGGTAACCTCGCTTCCCTGCAGACCTAATGCTTTTTGCCAAAAGGCCCTCTCTGGCTATGGCAAAAGCATCAACATCCCACCGTTTGTTTATGCTTTGCAAAGGCCAGGAGACCCACACCGATGGGCATGTGTGCACACGAAGAGTAGGTTTTTCATCACGGGAAGCATCCCAAAGGACCGCACACACACATGCATACACTTCAGTGCATATATAAGTGATATGGATATGAAGCGTTAGCAAAATAACGAACACACACGCACAAAACAAATATCACCCGAATAGCCTTAACAGACTGTTGGGGCAAGTGCTTTTCACGAGCACCTATGTAGGATAACACGGCACCCGAGCGAGTGGGTGGTCAGCACCACGCCTTTGTCTCCCTAGTGGCGATATTTACACACCACACCAATAACCCATTTGAGGCTGAGTCGAGCTAGGGGAGGCCCCAGGACCGGTTTAGATAATCGTCACTGGTGTTGGCCGTGAGCGTGAATCGAACTCGGGTCGCCGGGGTTCATGGCTTACATTCACCAACACACACACCCATTGCGTGAACCGTAAACATGTCGCTTGCTGGCAAATTAACCGCCAGTAATGAAGATCTGCAGTGCAGGGTAAAAAGTGAAGCAGGATTCCTCTTTCTTATTTAAAAAAACTGTCCAGCTTAATGACGCTTTCCTTGTAAACAAAGCTGTAAGTAAGTTAATAAAGTGTGCTAATTTAAAACATTCAAAGGGCCATTGTTAAGGATTCTACAGCAAATTATGAATTTAATTGACTTGTCATTATGGCTCATAAATGATGAATACTGGTTGAGAACAACCCTTTGTACATACAATTGCAGGTAAAGGCCCCCCCACGCCTTGATGGTCAAGGGGGTTGCTTTGACCATACTTCACTATTCTGGCCAGTGCAGGTTTGTGGAGCGAGGACACCCAGGACCGGTTCCATTGGCAACCACTACTGATGGTAGCTGTGGTTAAGAAGCGACTTCAGGGTGCACAGTGGAGTGCGATGACCACTGGTCCACACATTGCTGTATTGTAAATCCACAGGTTGATTCGCACTCCTGCCATGGCGGTTCAACTAATAGGCAAGATTCATGAAATGCCCCCCCCCCACCGTCCTCTGTTTTCCCCAGCATTACAAATGGTGACACCACAGTGAGTTGATCGACAGGCTGTGTACGGTGGGGTCAGGCGTGGTTACTTCCAATGTTTCCAAGTTGTCTGGCGAGCGTAGAGAGGAGGAGGAGACCAGATATCCTCTGGAGGGGCTCTATAGTGCTCAATCGAGTGGAATCCCTTTCCGCCAGCGGTGATGTGACAACGCATTGGCAGGGGGCTGCATCGTTGCCTTCATTGATATTGGCAGTAGCCACCTGGGTCGATCTTTATTACATAAGTCTCGTCCCTATAGATGTTGGATTATTTAATTTTGACCTAAAACCCTTAAATGACGAAAGCTACCCACAAATTCTGAAAATGAAAGGGTTCACTGCCGATTTAGGAAATCTCTACTTTTGTACCATTTTATAGGCATGTGGTTTATTTTAAGCAAATGAATCGCGCACTTCTCCATAT